TGCCAAGACGAAAATTGGGCAATATTTCTCTCTATTCCCCATTGATTTTTATCGGTTAGTAATTAATTGAAACTTCGTATTATGCATTATCTTCATTGTGATTACGAACAGTCACTCCAAGCATCCTTCGCTCCATTGTTGCTCCCATCGCAGACAGTGTTCGCTCTTCTGTTTTCGTTAATGACCACGTTTCGCATCCGTACATCATTGCTAACATTCCGCTAGTGCCGTGAAAGCAACTTTACTCTAATTTTGCATAATGTCAACACTATCAAGGTTCAATTTCTTTGTTTTATCATTATATTTCCTTTAGGAGGCATGCCACGTTCAGGGACAACATTGATACGAGCGATGCTAGACGCTCATCCGTCTATTCGATGGTTTGTCATACTTTTTTCCTGGATTTTTTTTTTTTTCATTGTGAATCACGAGTCCCCTTTCTCCTGTCCTGAGCGAGGTCTTCTGTTTGTTGAAGCGATTTTGACTCATTTTGAAGGCACTGGTTTTCAAGATTACTAGCACTCTTTTCATCGCTTTAAATTTGGGTTATTAAACCAGTGCTTAATAATAATAACAATAATGGCAATAATAATAACAATAATAATAGTAATAATAATAGTAATAGTAGTAGTAGTAATAATAATAATAATAATAATAATAATAATAATAATAATAGCGACAACAATTATTTCGTAATGAATGAATACAGTCGTCTTAAAAAGCATCTTATCTAGGGTTCCTTCCTCCTTCATCAGATTTTACTTTTGAATTCATAACTAATGAATTTCATTATTTTTGAACTAACGCGTTCTCCAATGCTTGCTTTTAAAATAGTACTTTTTTGGTTCTGAAATTTTTTCGTATCGCGAAAAATATTGCCAATCAAGACGTTTCAGATGCAAAAAAGCGAAATTTTACGCCCTTATGCAAATGAATTTGCTTTAGCCATACAAATCAGCGCTGGCGCTAGGCACTTGCGATGCTCGGCATTTACCTTTATGGTAGCGTGAAATTACGTTTTTTTTTTGAAATAACGCCAAAAAATGCTTTTTAAGATAACTGTATACATACATTACGAAATAATAGTTGTCGCTATCATTATTGTCATTATTATTATTGTTATTATTATTATCACTGCTATTACTGTTATTATTAAGTACTGGTTTAATAACCCAAATTTAAGGCGATGAAAAGAATGCTAGTGATCCTGACCTACATCAGAACCCTAGTCAGAGCAACTGGGGAATTTGCTAGCTGTGCAATTGGAGAATCAGTCTATGTATTACAGTTTATGAAAGTATCTCAAGTACACGAAATAGCCGTGGATTATTTGCAGTGGTGAAGAGACGCGTGTAATTCCGCGTATCCTCAGTCTCAGGGCACAGTGGAAGAAGAGCGAAAAGGAGTGGAATCGTCTTAAAGAAGCGGGTGTTAACGATCAAGTACTCGACGATGCAATCACTTCATTCATATTACAAGTGAGTTTCCTTCCTCCTGGCAATATTTCTGTGTGTGTTTTTTTTAGCAGAAAAAGGAAATTAAAATTTACTGGAAAGCTTAAAACGGCAAGTCTTTTGCAGTTTTTAAATTATCCGATATTATTATTGTTATTATTACCATTATTAATACTTCATCATTGTTGCTGTTATCATTATTATTACTATCAGAATAACAATTTAACTCCAGCAGCCTTTACAATTAATTCGGTTGAAATTTAGTTTTTTTTCTTTTTTCAAAATTGAACGGAGGTATTTTATAGATAAAAGTTATACCAAGTTATTGGTCTTTGCCAGTATTTATTAACTGTGAAATCAAATTAGGAATATGCAGCGGAAGAATTTAGGAGAATAATTCTTTGCAACTGGCAACTTTCCCAATTGTTTTTTCACCGGCGCTCTGTCTCTGTCAGGGTTGCTAGCCCAACGATTTTTTCCTGGTTTTATCATTTTGACAAAAAATTTTGGCCGTTTCGAAATGTTCTTGATTTGTGTTGAGCCTCCCCTCGAGCACTGCTATTCCTAGACTACGATGGGTTAACTGCCAACAATGAGATTAATATCGATATAGGATGAGTGCTAGCTGAAAGTATGAAAGCATCCCAGTAACATCTTCCGCAAGGAATTCCTGCTGTACTTAGAAATATGTAAAATTTTCAGGTAATAGCAGGACATGGAGAGCCTGCCGAAAGACTGTGTAATAAAGATCCATTTACGATGAAATCAGCGGAATATCTTGCGCATCTTTTCCCGAACAGTAAATTTCTGCTGATGATTCGGGATGGCCGTGCCACAGTCCACTCAATTATATCGCGTAAAGTAACAATTTCGGGATTCGATCATAACGATCCAAGAGACTGTCTGGTCCGATGGAATCGTATTATTGGTGTTATGTATGAGGTTTGCAACATTCCGGCGTGCTTCATTACTTCCAGGGATCTCTCACTTGAATATTTGCTACTATCACCAAGATCTGCACCAGGGATTGACCCACGCTCACATCGAAGCGGGGAAAAAATGAGTGGAAATTTGCTTTTTAAAGGCTTAATTGAACTTTCACGCACTTATTTAAATCGTACGTGATTTATTTAGCTTGAGTTTTCAGCAGTGTAAAATGATTGGCAAGAAATTATGTTTAATGGTTTATTATGAGCAGCTGGTGCTTCATCCCGAGGAGCAGATGCGTCGGATCCTAAATTTCCTGGATATCTCATGGCATGATTCGGTGCTGCATCACGAAAACCATATTGGCAAAGGCATCTCCCTATCCAAGTAAATACTTTAGCCGTGATTATTTACTCTGTGTTCTTTTTCGCCGGCCGTAATGTTTCAATTCTCCGTGTATTCCTAGGCAATTAAAAATTCACACTTTTCTTTTTGGATTTACAATTTGCGAGCCCGCGCAGCTTCTTTTAGTGATTGAAGCATTCCCCCTTTATACCAGGAATAGCTGGAAAAACTACCCGAACTGTGCAGCTGACAATTTTTCCAATTGCTTTGATCAAAGAAAACTAAAATTATATCATTTTTGCAAAATTGCAGACATCATTTT